TATATATATATATATATATAATTAGACATTTAGCTGAAGAAAAATTTGCTTCAAATTCGTCGAAAAAAATCTAGAATCGATATATCCTTTTCTCTGTGATTTTATTTCTTACTTATCAAATGAGAGAATCAGTCGCGAAAATTCGCACAGTACTGTCTAATCATTAACGAGGCGCCGTTAATGCTTCTTATTAACATCTGTGCTGCAACCGACGATACAAATCAGCCGTCAGTTCATCTTCGACCACCACTCGGTTTACTCGATTCCGCCCGCGACTTTAGACGATTTCTCATCCCGAAATAGCCTCTGAATTATTTCCCGCATTACAGTCGCTCAGAGACTGCTCTGTATCGATTCCTCGAGTGACATTCGTGCCGCGAGTCGTGCCGCAAAAAAATCTATATGCCATCGATCATGACATTAACCTTCATAATGCCTAAATACGCATAAACTGAAATTTAATTAATATCCGAAATGAACTTGTGATAATTTTTGTATAAATTTGTAATAATTTCTTTTAGTTGGTGTCATGTTCAAGTCGCGGCGAATTTTTTCCTGATTTCACGGTATAATGAATAGAGAATACATTATTTAAAAAAAGAATTTACTTATATTTACGAGCTATGTAGAAATAATAAAGTGAAAAACGAGCAAAATTAAGAGTGTCAATAACAAAAATAATTTATTGTACAACAAAAAGTTCAGATTGTTAGGAACAACTGTTTCTTGTTGTAATAAATTATTTTTAAATCACGTACACTTTAATTTCGGTTTTGGCTTTATTATTTTCACAGTGCTTTGCAAAATATGAGTCTTTTTAAAATTTTATTTTCAATTACATAAGAATATTGCTTAGACAATATATATTTTTTTTAATTTTACTGCCGCAATGTTTCTTTCTGGTCGGATGACTCGCGTATATCGTCGGGCGGAATCAGACAGAATCGGTATCGTGACCGATAGCGCATAACGCCTGGACTCATCAAGGCGAGCCGAGAAATTGTTTATATGGTGGGGGCCCCGCACCGGGCGAAATTACTCGCTCTGGGAGTCATAATAAATGCGTTTATGAAACGCTGCTCGGTGAACGTTGTCAGTTGATCGAATCGCGCCGCGCGACGCTGATACATCACGGATGCGTCGTCACCGATTTTTCCGATGACCGCTTGATTCATCTAACTTGCAAATGCGCGAACTTTTTGGTGCGACGTTAATTATCTCGCCCCAGTTTCGCTTTATTAACTACTTCGCCGCATCACACGCTTCGTAATGACCGTGTCCGATTGTCTGCAAGTTACATGTGCAACGAAAAATGAAATTTAAATTTTATGAAATTAAAAAAATAAAGTTAAAATCAGTTGCACTAAAATGGATTTAAGGAAAAGAATCTGATGAAATTTATATATGACGGAAAATGCAATTTTTTTTCTTCAAATAATATTCCTTTAAATAACAGATTATTTACAAAAAACAAGACATAAAAGAAACAAGATCATTTATAAAATAATTTAGATAACAGATTATAAAATAAAATAATTATAATTACAAATTATAAAATCTATTCTATTAATAAAAAGCAATAATAAATTGAATGGACAATGTTCAAAGATTAATTTTATGAGATGTACTGTCAAGAATTAATTTTTTACATTCACATGACATCTCTTGTATATTGTAAGCTCGTAAATTAGACATACCGAACATTGTTCATGCAAGTGCGTTTATTTTTGGATTCCCGAAGAACGTTCGCTAGGGCGAATATGTTCTCGAAAGATAATCAGTGAAAAAAAAGACGATGTCTTCGGAGCCTAAAAGCCTCCGCTTTTTAAAGATCGGAACAGAGTGCCACGAAGAATTTCATGAATTTTCGCCGCGGCATCGTGTGCGTGACGGGCATTGTCCGGGATTAAACCTGCACGTTCCTGAAGAGGTTCCCTACGAATCGATCGCGCGAGTCGTCTACAGTTCTCCGTTGTCTTCGATTCGATATACTTTCAGTGATACCTCTCGCGCAAAATACAGCAGTAGCAAGAATATATCCAAGTTTGAGCGAATTGTTATCGATGACAAAGTAGTGGGAACATCGTGCTAATCTTTTCATTGACTTCAACAGTGTAAATGGAGCAAGGCTAGTTACACTGGGATATTACTAGATGACTATAACTGTATAATCTATGAGAATTCGTGAGAAAAATACAAGAATTGTATCGGAGTTGTTAACATATCGTGGGAAGAATAAGGATTTACATGAGAATTGATACGTTGTGGATTTTATGGAATTATTATTGATGATAGATTTTATTGATAAAAGATAACAGACGTATATATAATAGTATATAATATAAACGTTCTTTTATAATTTTTTAATGCAAATTTATTGTAAATCAATTATAGATGAATTACGATAAACGTGTGTTAAGATTAATTTGTTTATAAAGAATTGTTGCGGAAGATAAAATATATGTTATAAATACATATAAATATATTTCATAATATTTTAAGAAAGTTACTACTAATAATAGTATAGCTTAATAATAATAAAGCTTTCTTTTAAAAATACAATATTTTTTATTTGCTGTAAATATATCAATATGGATTGGTTATCTCTTTGTGTCTGTGGCACAAAGCGCAATTCCATCGATAGAAAGATCAAGAAGGACGGAAAGCGCAAAAAGAATAAGAAATCTAAAAAGAATTCAAAGCAGAAAGGATCATGCAAAGAGTTGCCGTTCATCGTCGACGAGTTTTTGCGCAAATCGCAGGACGAACAAGCAAAAGAAATCGCGGAAAAAGACTGGACTAACGGAGAAATCGTTAATTACTTCAATGATTGCGCGAAAAATCAAATCGCTTCAACCGATCGAATCGATCCATCGGAGGTCAATGGCTCATCGTCTTATCAAATCAGTGATGATCATGAAAGCTTCGAGAAGGATTCTCTTAAGGACTCGAAAACAAATGCGGAATTTGTTCGAGAACTATGTGATATCGATTATTATGACAATGCGATGCTATATTCGAGAAATGCATCGGCAGAAAAACAAGTCAAGTGCATCTCGGATGAGAAAAATCATGATAAAGAGGCGGATTTGGACGAATCCATTCCGAGATCGGTGGTATCCCAAGAACCTGAAGATTCGTCCTGGACGTCGGAAATCGAAAGTAGACAGGATGCGGTCCTGGAATCGAGTTTTGATAAAAAGTTCGATGAAAGAGTTTCATCTAGAATTAATTTTTCTGACGAGAAGCAAGAAAAGTCGAAGACGAGAATCGTTCCAAAGAAAAAAGGGATCAACAGAAACATTCTTCCACCGATCAAAGGAAGATCTCGCGCTGAAACTTGCATAGATAATGAAGAACTGCAAGCCCTTGAAGAGACGAATAAATTTGGTTTTAAGAGAAATTTAAGAGACGCGGCGTCTCATGAACGGAATGAGGTTCAGCGGAAATTGAACTCGTGCAGTTTCGAGGTTCGGCCGTACGAGGATGAAGAAGGAGGTAAAAAAGAAAGAGGTGGAAAAACAACGAAGATTCGGGGCGAGGGATCCATGATACCTAGACTTGCATCCCCACTGCGACAGAGAATGAATTCGATCAAGAACGACAGCGATAAATCAGAGATCATGGAAAACGGTATTGTTACGCGTTAAAAATTATGTACACATAAAATATTTGATAAAATTAGAAATGCAATATCTCAATCCTGATCTTATTAAAAAAATACATTTTGAAAATTATTGTTAAAAGAATACTAATTTTATGAAAAAAATGTGCTGTCATTTTTTCAGTTCAGTTATTGTCGAATTAATCTCTTAGTAATTTATACTTAACTTAAATCTAATTTATTACTACATGATTTGAAGAACTGGAAAATGTATTTAATAATTCAATTATTACATAGAAAGAACGATTTTTCTGAAGTATCTAAAAATTTAGTTAGAAGCTGAAAATAATTTTATTGGATGATCAAAATAATTATGTAGGATGCTCAAATTGATTGTCAAAATTTTTTGTAGTTTACTCATCAAGCTTGAAATTTTTTCATAATAATTTTGATGGTTCAACAAAATTACTTCTAGATTGTATCTACCTAAATTTATATATATATTTCAGCAAAATCGTTTTTTCCACGTAGACATCAAGATTTCAGTCTTGATAGTATTTGGCGTTTTTCTATTTTTGTATTTATTTAATTAAATAAAATGTAAACTATTTAGAGAAGAGAAGATTTAGATTCTATTTAAACGATATACACATAAACTTGCGTAATCATTATAACCGCATTACTGCAGTCCTTATATATTATAATGAATAATTCTTGTTTCAGGTCGTGTTCACTCAGCAGTTGTCTCTGGTATCAATTTAGAGCAGCGCACCGTAACTGTAGAATGGTTCGAGAGAGGAGAAACCAAAGGCAAAGAGGTAAGTCTGTGCACGTTCATAGATTATTCTAATTACTCAGAAATGGAGCAACACAAGTTTGAGTTGGATAGAACCTATGTTTTGAAATCAAATAAAACTAAAATTAACTGATATTAATTAAGATAAATATAAATAATATTTATATTATGAAACGATAAAATATGATTCATTAGTATTTTTTTATTTTTAACAATGTATACATTAAACAGAATATGTAGTTCGAGAATTCCTCTGTTCAAATAATTTGAAAGTATTTTTTCTTAATAGCGACTTTCCCATTTTCGCAGAATTTACTTAAAAACTGTATACAGTTGCCTATGACACATGTTTCCTCGGACACACGTGTCAAGTGATATGTTTTTATCTCATGTTTAATAATTGCACTATGAGCAACTTTCTCTCGCGATTTCGCTGCATTGAACTGCAATATTTCAATTCTCTATATCCGTAGGTCATGGTTATTTGGCTATTTTCAATTCCGCAATGCTTACGCAATGCCACAGGGCTAACGTGCAACTCGCTAACGGGGGCGCGAATCTATTTCTGACAGGCTTGCAAGTCCGCAGATTTACCGTCAGTTAAACCGGTCAGGTCGAACGTGACTTTTGTAAAAAGTCGCGCGATACAAGACTGAGACCCGTGAGAAAGTGAATTTCCGATCGTGAACAAAGTATCATTACTTCACGATTTTATATTTCTTTTTGCAATTTTCTTTCGCGAATTCCGACAACAATTTTGTTTTACATTTCATATATAAATACTAAATGTTGAATTCAAGAGAATAACCCGTTAATTATCCATCCTATGTTAATGCGCTTTTTTTTGAAGATCCTATTCTTCCATAATTACACATTTTAACCGCGGAATTAATTGTGCAAGATTTATTTGTATTAGTACACACAAATGTCCCAGCAAAGTTTTATTCCACGCCGAAAGGTAATTTGCAAATTATGAATATAATTATATATATAATTTTATGTATTTTTATGTAATTTTATTCAAATATTTCTTCTTTTACGTATCGCATAATTTATTAACTTCACTGGTCCCAAAGAAACAGACAATCTCCATAATGTCACTTCTGTTTTGAAATTGATATCGATTGTGCATTAAGTAATAATTAAAAGAAATTGACAATTCAAAATTATTTTGATTTGTATATTTTTTTCAGGTCGAAATCGATGCGATTCTTGCCTTGAATCGCGATCTGAATCAAAAAATGGGACCACGAAACGAGACTATATGTGCGCTGCCGCAAGCAATGAAGATAGGACCACGAGACGATAGTATGTGTGCGCTGCCGCAGGTGATGAACAATCACATGTTGGCGTCCTCAAAAGCAAGGGTACGTATTTGTAGTTAAATTGATTCTTTTCAAAACGCATGGTTGAAACGTCGAATGGTGCGTTCTAGATCATTGTCAAGCGTAGATTCAATTGTCAATTAAATTTTGAAAGATGTAGAAACTGCTCTTCTTCCACATTCTATTCATCTCAGATCTCGGAGATCTCCTAAAAATGAAATTAGCGCACCTGTAGAGAAACGTTAAAAAATTAACGACATGAAAAACGGAAATTGGAGATCTTAATTTTCTCCTTAATTAATCTTTTAAGTTAAAAAAATGTACAAACAGGTTTTAGATTACAGAGGAACTTACTTATCCATTTGACAGATCAGCAGAGTAGCACATGTACTACTATTAGATAAGCCAACTTTCGCGAAAGTCTCGTAATCATTCAGACGTTGATCCATGAATGACGGTGTGCGTGCCACTTTGCGAGTCGAACTCCGCGCGAGTCTTGAAACGTGTCCGCGTAAATTCGCGGTCGATCATCGACTGCCTTGGCAGAATTCTGTTTATCGGTTGCCCAGGCTACGTGAAATAACCTCGCTCCTAATATGGAAAGAATAATCTGATCCCGCGTCTCGTGGCGTTTACACCGCGGTAGACATGTTCCAGTACCTGTACGTCTTTCAGGTAGGAGTCCCCGTCACTCGTAATCGGTCCACAAGCCTTCGAATCCGACGTGACGATGACCGTGGAGTCTGATCTCGTCAGGTCTCCGGCTTCCCCGTCACGTGGAGCCCGCGTCTAAGATAAACAATTGCGACTTCCTCTCCAAAATTTGCATCGTGCGTTTGTTGCTTCTTTCATTCTTGTAGAATTAGACGAAGGCTTTTTGAGATAGCTCCTAAGTTTGTCCTAAACAGTTCGTAGATGGTGTGATTGCATAGTCTTAACTTTCCTTATTAGTAATACTTGTATTTACGTGCAACAATCACCGTGCATTTTATATATATATATATATATATATACACATACATACATATGTATGTATATATATATATATATATATATTGCACAAAGTGTCGTGTACTTTCTATGTAGCAATTTTAAATCGTACGAATTGAAAATTGGAAAATTTATTTTGAATTTATCAAAATCGCTTTTAAAATAACTTGCACTTGTATTTTTATACAAAAAAGAATATATTTATGAAAATTAAAATATTAAGAAAAATATATTTTGATTATTATCAGAAGTGAAGTTAGCCTCTGATTAAAGATTGAAAGGCAATAAAATCAATAAGATTCGAGGACTTGAGGAGCCCAGCAGTACAGGAATTCTGTAACTTTAATTGATAGAACTTTAATCGATATCATTACGCAATTTTTTTTATATAACATCTTATATAATATATAACGATAATATAATACAATCTGACACTGGTTTAGTTTTCATTGAAATCTGCAATTTGCTTTCTGTATTTTGATGTAGATCAAATTTAGAGTATCATTTCCATTAGAAATTGAAATCTTGTGGATTAATGCAGGAACTTCTAAAATGAGCACATTAAGTGCATTTCCACCGACTTGAAATTGATTTTATGTTGTATTAAATGCTTCAGTGGAAACTAGATCACTGTCGAGAGTTACAAAATCCCAATACTGGACCTAAACATCCAATTGGGTTTGTATGTCCAAGGATCCGTTCGTAATTTTAAAATATAATGTAAATTTCTTCAAGAAATTACTAAGCCTGTAAATACATCGATCAACAAAAGGCAAAGTCCGCAGCGTCATTTTCGCTACTAACATGGTAACATCTTTTTTTTCCTCCATGGACGCTGCTCATAATCACGGACCTCGTGTCGACGATGGACCATCGACCACCCCCGGGCAAAACCGATCGATAACAAACCGATCTCTAATACGAAACTCACATCGTCTCGGCCATCACTCATCCGCAAAATTGCCATCTTTCTTGACAACTCTCCCCCTCATCGATTCCCTCGGTGGCTCCATCGACCACGGGTGTAATCGTCTGATTGATTTACGTAAAACTGGTCATGATCGCGATCTGCGGTAAGGAGCCAGACTCCTCGGCTGAGGAGGACGAGGGAGTCGACGAGTCGGAGAACCAAGAGGAGGGCTCCCTCGGACGCCACGGTGGTCACACCACGAGAAACGGCCTCGCATCCGCAACGCTTCCTGTACGAGTCACATCTCGTTTCTCGGTAACGCGCACCAACCTTCCCCCTCATCACCGCAACAACTACAATCACAACACAATGCTCTGCAGCAATAGTCTTTGAACCGTAGTCGCCGAACGAACCTTAGCATCTTCGAGATCGCTCGCTTTTACGATACAAATTTATGATATCTCGCGAGTTTTATTACTTGATTCATAGTGTATGACGAAATTATATGGGAATTATATGATGTATAAATCATTCTTTAGAAAAATTATTTATTTAACTTCACACAAAAGACAATATCCTATGATTACTGTCCATTAGAATCAACATACATATATATCTTTTGTATAATTGGAGAAAGAAAATTGAAGAAAATGATATATTGCAACTTCGTGGTGTTTTATATGTTATGAATGTTTGATGCAAGTGGAAAAGATCATAAAATTTATTATGTCATGATACAAAATAATATTGGAAATATATGTGAAGTTAAATAATTATTTATAAAATGTAATTTGTGAATATTGAATTCTATCCAATTGAGTACACTCTATCTAATATAATATCTATCAACACTAATTATTTATCATTATCATGCTCGCAGCTTTTAAATTATTTATTAACCTTAATGTTATTTAAACCTTTGATGGAAGCTTTCTAATAAAGAAACATAAAAAAATCTTGTTTTCTAAGAGTATGTGAGGTGAATTTGGTTTCTTAAAATTTTTAAATTCTATCTCGGATGACTTCAAAATTACAATATAAAATTAAAAAATAATCTTAATTATCTTTGAATTCGATTTCAGAAAATTTTTGCTATCGCTGAGTTTGAATATAGTCTGAAAATGTATAAATTCAAATAAATATTAATTTCCAATGAAGAAGCTCTAGTGTTATAATTAGTTATTTTTGAAAGTCAATTTGAAAATCAATCAGGAAATCTGTTTGTGTAACATAAATGAGCTTCAAATAAAATGAAACTTGAAGTTACTTAGTTAATTAAAAATTCTATAAAACTAAGTTTTACGAGTTTTAATATATCTAAAAAAAATTCTGTCCTTATTGGATTCGCTATTTTTTTTTACTTTAGATTCGAAAATATTATCCTATAAAAGTTTCATAAAAATCGAATGAGCAATTTATAAAATAAAAGAAGGTGTGACTTCAAATAAGGTCTCCCGTACATAAAGGATTAAATAACTATTTTGAGATGTTATTTTCAAGATTGATAAAAATGATGTGTAGTTTGAATTGCAAAAGATTTTCTTGATCTGCATGAATTTTGGGGATTCAGTGTCTAAAGCTTTTCTTGCACAAAGGTGAAAGGAGCGTTCGCTACCTTTCACCTTTTCTTTATCACAAGTGAAAAATATCAGCTTTTCTCAAAGTGCCCATCCACCAGAGCACCGCTAATCACTAACGTTTCTTTTCACCCATTTCGCACTCGCTTGAATTCGACGGGATCTCGATAGGTTGATATTTCGGCGAGTTAGCTGAACTGGCAACTTAGCGAATATCTAGTAGACGACCAGCGAGAACTTGCCACACGGCATTCTTTCATTTTCGTTCGCGGAAATGCTTAGTTTCGTGAAACGGAATGGAAGATCGCTCAGCGCGATTGCTCTACACCGTGACTGGGTCAAAAACCGTGTCGTTACGTACGGTGATCGATATGTAAAAGGAACGCGCGGGCGTGATTAACGCCCGGATCGATGTGAACCGTTTTCTTATCTCTTGCGTCCTGAACGTGTCTGGCGGAATATATTGGCAAAAAGATGTATTATACACCCGGCTTCGAAGGAAGCACCATTTTATTATTTTTCATTTGCAGCACTTCTTAGATTGTAAGTCGACAAACACTCCTCTCTTCGTTGCACGAAGAAACACCACCAACCTTTTTATTTCAAATTGCTAAACATAATCTGTTTTCTTTATTTTCAGCACTCCACCAGGCCGTCTATTCCAGTGAAAGGTACGTTAACCACGAAGATTCTTTCGATCCTTTGCTATTTCGTTACACTTTGCTAAAGCGGCATCGTTATTGGTGAAATCGTGACGCTTACAATAAATTCCGCGCGTGTGTGGCGATGTCTGTATTTTCGCACTTCGGAAAATTTTCATCATGAAATAGATTTCTTGGCCGCTTTAATTGCGGTGTAACACGTGTTTTAATTATACCGCTAAATAAAACGGATATAGAAATCTAACGAAACCAGACTAATTGCATGCGTTTCGCTTACACGCCGTTCCGCTGATCTTTGTTTGAAAAGGGAGATTTGTGAACGCATGGAATAAATTTCCACATGCTTCTTGATTCACGCGCCGATAAGCGTGAATGACTGTCGAACCTTCAGCGTTCGATAAGTCAATTTCGTTGTGAGACACTACGCCTGGTCGAGTGTATGTACGTCGTCTTTTCACCCAGATAAAATCAAGTAGCAAGGAGCCTTCGCTGCACGTATACGGTTGAGCCGTGACTATCGATATTCATGCGCCGTATGCAAGGCAAGGGCAAGGACCTCGATGGAACCTACAGTACGACGTGGTAGACCAAGCTAAGGGGGTGTATTTTGCTGCTGACCCTCCTCTCTCTAGCATTGTTCGATTTACCTCGGCAGTGCGCACCACCCGGTGGAACGTCGCTCTCGTTTGCCTCTCGCGACGAACGGCTTGGTTAAAAATCGTTGAGATTTCGTGTATGCCGCGTCTATCATGAGATTCGACCCACTCGCCTATTGTTTCCGAAGGAAAAATAAAATCAGTAATTGCGAAAGTACAGACGTCACTGGCGATGACAATCAGATCCTGACGCTTCGAATCGAAGACGATGCCGGTAATGTGGTGGATCTCTTGGAGATTCTGTGATGTCTTTGTTAATATTATTATTATTATTATTATACTATTGAATATATAGATTTTCTTTAAAGTATCGTACTCTTTAGATTAATGAACTCTCACTCCAAAAGAATTAAAATACTACCATTGAAAAAGAATGAAAAATTTGCACTCTTGAATAAGAGTGGCAGATTTTCTTTTTTTTTTTTTAATTCATTCCAAAGAAAAAAATCTCATTCCTTTTTGGGGAATCTTACTCCAAAAAAAAAAAGAGTGAAATTTTGCCACTGTTATTTAAGAGTGCAAATTTATCTTTTTTTTTTTAAATAGTGGCAGTTTTAATTCTTTTGGAGTAAGATTTCACTAAAAAAAATTTAGAGAGTAGTACAAACATTTTTTCGCGTTTACATACGATTATTATATCTTTATAAAATTTTTGTAGTTTAGGTTTTGAGTAAACTGGAATAAAATTGGCTTGAAATTAAATCATCGTTCAGCGCAAAAAAACTTTGAGATATGTACCAATGACTTTTTGTTAAATAGTATAACTGAGCGAAAATGTATGTCTAATAATCTCGCGATTTTATTTTGAATTAAACATAAGTGTAAATCTGAAAGTAAAGGTGATCTCGCACGCTTTACAAAGGAACGGTAAAATGTAATTGCATTTAAAACTTGAAAAATTTTTTGTAATTTTACTAACGTCAGAAACCTAGGTTTTCTTTTTCACTGATATAGTATAGTGATTAGAAATAAAATATCAGATTCGAGGCATCAGCGTGAAAAGAATTGGACGAAAAGATTGAGATAGATCACGCGAGATCAAAGATATAATTTATGTTTTTCTTCTGATTTTAATCTTGACATAGTCAGTTCGATCGCTAAGAGTAAAGAGGACAGTGCGAGCACCATTAATCCTCATACTAATATTTCAGCTGGTTCGAATAGGCAATTGTCACGACCAACGGGTCGACCGACGAACATAATGTCGTCGACCACGTCGGTGAACGGTCACGGCGAATCGGTTTCCGGCCTCACAGGACGCCGGGAACTCGAGAATATACCGCCGACACCGACGACAACCGTCACGCAATGCCTGATGACTCCAGTGCAGAACAGACAACAAAAACAAGCGCAGCAGCAACAGCAACAACAGCAATTGCAACAACAATCCCAGGTAGAGAACGGTCGGGGTAGGCGATCCAATGTCGTCAAGGAGGTCGAGCGATTGAAGAAGAACAGGGAAGAGAGGAGACAACGACAAGCAGAACTTAAGGAGGAAAAGGAAGCGCTAATGAATCTGGATCCAGGCAATCCAAATTGGGAATTCCTTGCCATGATAAGGTTGCTACTGATTCTAAAATATAATATTATTTAAGAAATAATTAATAATTAATAATTAAGGAATCATTTAATATTATATAGAATTATATAAACTCGAATAAATTATTAATCTTTGTGGAATATTTGTAAACTTAATGTTTTGTGATTGATAGGAAATATGATGTATCAACTGTATTGTTTAATTGTATTTATTTGTTTAATTTTTACAGAGAATACCAAAACAGCATAGAATTTAGGCCGTTGCGGGAGACTGACGCCGTGGAAGATCATCAGATCACTGTGTGCGTGAGGAAACGTCCACTTAATAAGAAGGAGCACGTGCGCAAGGAGATCGACGTGATCAGCGTGCCCAGCAAGGATCAGATGGTAGTGCATGAGCCAAAGTCTAAAGTAGATCTCACGAAATATCTTGAGAATCAGATCTTTAGATTTGATTATGCGTTCGATGAAACGTGCAACAACGAGATAGTTTACAAGTATACGGCTAAACCGCTGGTGCAAACGATTTTTGAGGGTGGCATGGCCACGTGCTTCGCGTATGGTCAGACCGGCAGCGGTAAGACTCATACAATGGGAGGTGATTTTAATGGCAAAACACAGGATTGCAAGAAGGGCATTTACGCTATGGTTGCCAAAGACGTGTTCAAATGCCTCAAATTAGCCAAGTATCGGCCCCTGAATCTGGTCATTTCCGCTAGCTTCTTTGAAATCTACTCTGGCAAAGTGTTCGATCTTTTGGCGGACAAAGAGAAATTGAGAGTTCTGGAGGATGGCAAACAACAGGTTCGCTTTATTGAAATAAGAAATTTTAATTGGATCTGATCACTAATTAATCATATGTTTAAATAATCACTATTAATTAAAGTTTATGTCAATTGCTTATGTTCAGTATTACATATTTATTTTTAATTTATTTTGGCACATATATATTGGCTATCTTTCATTATGTATCAGTAAATTCCTAAGTCAATTGGAAATTATTTGATAATGCAATTTGAAATTTTCTTGTGTTTAATAATAGGTGCAAATAGTCGGACTGACGGAGAAGGTTGTAGAAACTTGCGACGAAGTATTAAAGTTAATACAACACGGAAACAGCGCCAGAACGAGCGGTCAGACGAGCGCTAATTCTAATTCTTCGAGATCACACGCGGTATTCCAAATAATAGCGCGTATCCCGGGCACACATAAGGTGCACGGAAAGTTCTCACTCATCGATCTTGCTGGTAATGAAAGGGGTGCTGATACATCGTCTGCTAATAGGCAAACTCGTGAGTAAATATATAATCAATTCTGACAACTGAAATGATTATACTTAATGATCTATGTCTTCTTTCATTTTACTAATGTTACTGAAATTTTTAGGAATGGAAGGTGCAGAGATCAATAAATCTTTATTAGCGTTAAAAGAATGTATACGCGCATTAAGCCGTAAGGGTACGCATTTGCCTTTTAGAGCAAGCAAGCTGACACAAGTATTAAGGGACAGTTTTATTGGTGAAAAATCGAAAACTTGCATGGTAAGTTGTTTCATAGTTATATTATCATGAAATAAAGATGTCAAAAGAAAAATAGGTAATTTATCAGATGTTATTCGTTTATAGATAGCGATGATTAGTCCCGGAATGAGTTCCTGCGAGCATTCCCTAAATACATTGAGATACGCGGATCGAGTGAAAGAATTGGCGGCAACTGATCCTACCGAAATAAAAGCTTCACCGACTGATGATGACCGAGGAATGAAGATCGAGGAACAGGGAAACAATAGTGTATTGTCGGATAGCGATTTAGCGCAGCTTCGATCTCTCAATGTAAGCGATTCTCTACAAACTCATAACAATATATTATAAAATTCAACAATTATAAATCGAATAATATCGAATAGTAATTAAATATTATTCATTAATGTTAAGAAAAATTATGTATCTAAATGTAATGAAAATGATTTACTTCTTCATAGGAAGGTGAACTTTCGCAAGATTTGTACACTTTCCATGAGGCAGTATCAGCTCTGCAAATGCTCGAAGAAGAAGTATTGGATACGCACAAATTGGTCATGGATAATACGACTAAATTCCTTAACGACGCGCACAGTGTGTTCAGCGCGACTCATGAAGTGGATTATGACCAAGAAGGTATGACAAATTTATTTTTGTTTGCATTTTTGTTTACATTTTTCTATTGGTTTTCCGTTTGTTACTGCTTTAATCTCTTACACTATATTGTGCTGGACGGTGCACTTTTGTGAAGAACGTAATACACAATTTCGACGTGTCTCTTCCATGTGTCACAGAAGTATGTCTTCTTTCTTTTCGAGAAAAATTTTCAAATATGAAAAATTATATATTTAATATTTAATGGGGCTTCTAGCATCAGATTTTCGTGGTAAAAATTCACAGACATCATGTGGCGATAAGCATCAAATCTTCTTAAGTGACGATTCATGTTGCTTTTGTTGAGATTATTCCGTCAGTAACTTATAGTAAAAACTTAAAAAGTACGAAACGTTGTACTTGCCGTATCACAGTGCATCGCATTTTATAACAGATACGCGCAGTAAGACTAAGGCAAATTCGATCGTCACGTTAAATCATCACCGGAGAGACAGCAGCCCGGCAAACGCGATGATAGTGATAAGTGACGACACGGACAGCGACACGCAGACTTTAAACACATTGGAAGTAAATACATCCGCGGAGAATTCATTGATGTCTTGCTGGAACAATGAGATGGAGTTCGGAAATAATTTCAGTTCGAATGACATTGAGAAGGACTCGAATGTTCTTCCTCGCACGCCTGTCAGACCCATTATCAAGAAGAAAAGCATGACAACCGGTCAAAATGCTAGAAAGAATTCAATTAAAAGCACGCCTACAGAACGTTCCATTCAAAGATTCAATCAAAGTCAACGGATCAAAGGATCCATTAGTAATAAGAAGAAGAATCAGAAATATCATTGGTCTGGTACATTCCGTATTAAAACAAGCCCTAAAGATACGCATTGTAATACTTATTATTCGCCTCATAAAGATAAACTATACGACGTGAAAAATCAACTAACGAATTATAATTATTACTACGAGGACTTCGCGAAAAAAAAATCTGCGAGTAAAGAAGATATTTTTAACCCGAACAAATTCGACTCTCAAACTATCGACGATTCGTGGGAGAAGTGGACCGACAGCAATGCTAGCTGCCGGTCTTATATTGACATTTGCGTTAATGATTGTAAAAGATGTATTAATTTTAAAGACTACGATATCGATCAAGATAACTGCGGATTGCCGGCAACATTTAATATTTTAAAATGGAGAAATATGACGGATAAAAGCGATAAGAATAAGAACACACATGATGTTGACTCGCGAACAGACAATAGTATTATTTTATATTCTCAACATGATATCAGTAATGTTAATGAGGAAAATAGTAATCTTTGCAATGCCAAAGAATTGGTCGAATCTTCGACTAATGTTAAATCAAATATTAGAAAAACAATTAATCATAAGAAGAACTCTGCTATTCAATTAGATTGCTATAAAATTTGGTATTCTTTGCTATCTTTCTTAAAAAACATTATTTTATTTTTGCTGCTGCCAACAGTATACATTATCTTTTTTATTTATGTACAAAAGAAAGAGGATAAAAAACAGGATAACATATAATTATCTACATAAAACATATGAATTAATTCTTATTGTATATTTTTATATGTGTGTGTTATTCATAGAAAAAAAGGAATGATCAACAAAGAGAATGATAATGAGAGCCGACACAGTTGATTGTGTATAATCTATATATATATAAATCATTAATTACAGACATTTCGATCTTAAAATTGGATCCTCAATATGAATAACAAAAATTATTTACTATATTTATTATTATAACAATGTGACTATACTTGCGTCTTGAGAGCATGTGAGAAATTGAGAGAACTTTCTTACACGGACTTTGATATTTGTTATTCATACATTGAGAATGACCCAATTTAGGGTCAAAATTTACATCTGTAATTGGTAATTAAAACACACACACACACACACACACACACACACACACACACACACACATTTGGATTACACAGGCAACTCTCATTGGTATTATCATTCCCTTTGTTGATTCAATTTTTAGAGCTTTTTAATTTTAATTATTGTGTAAAAAATTTGCTTATGGAATACTACTATAATTTTTTTTATCTTTTTATTTAATTTTAATGAAAATGCATTCCTTCGAATTTAAGCACTTGGCTGTATGCACGATTAAAATGTTACTAATTCTTGTGTGCCATATAGTAATGTTATGTTAAATGTATTTTGATTTTGCAATCGCATTTTATGCAGCACTCGTCGTTTATTCTGTGAAATTAGTTTCTATATTTTAAGATCTTTTTAATTTTAAATAGACGAAATCCACTACAAAATATATGACATATGTATGAACTTATTATAAGTCACGTATTTTATCAATATTACTAGCTTTTACAAAGAAAAAACATGGTTGACTACTAGTTCGGATTATAGTTTATTACAGCATAATGTACAGTTTATTACAGCAAAAGCAAAGTATAATTTTTTAGGTGCCTTATACTTGTACACTTTATATGAAAAAAATCACATTGCATTGTACTTGTAGAAAAAATTTAATATAATATCAGAAAACGTTACAGATTTGAGGCGGAAAAGAACAAAGTTTGAGTCACCCTACCTGAGGAGTTTCTCGTTACGTAGACGTCTTATAGAGAGAAAACTATTTTCCGACGGTACGACAATATTATTCGATTAACAATTCTATAAAAAATAGTTCAGATAAACAGCTTATTTTAATGTACACCATACTAATGATACGCGTCACATTATTTTCTCACTTCGATATCACACGCATTTTAAATATATCCTCAAAAATAATATTTTTTAGCGATTTGGTACCGGGAATTTTATTTGATTTTGCCAATGTAACGTCAGAAATGGATTTTCTTCTCATTTAAAAAATTTAGATTTCTATCGATAATGCAGTATTTATAATGAAGCATCAAAGTCGTTCAATTTTTAAGACAATTGAATCATTTGATCTTTTTTAACTATGTCTATTATTATAGATATATTTAAGGAACAGCAAATTCAAGCCAAATTACTGTAATTCCAATAAAAAATACTGTTCCGTGTACGAATAATTGAATACAAATTGTGTTATAAAGAAGCAATATTTTGCAGCAAGATTTTACAATATTAATATCATACTTCATAAATTTTTTCTTGAAACGCAAACAGATCCTGGAAGGGTAAACTCAACATTTTTCTTTTCTTTTTTATTATTATTACGTATTATTGTATTTTATTAAACATAATGTTATGACAAATGTATTGTTGAGGGAATTATTAAATAATTTTATATATGTATATGTACTGTAGAAATTAAATTTGAATAAGATATGAAATTAACAGTGTTGTATAAACAAAATATGATTAGTATGTATATCTTAGAAGCGTGAACGTATTATTTTATGTATGTACACAAACCGAGTCTTTGTTAATAAATGTTATTTTTGTGGATTATTAAGCTAATGGCAATATCACATTAAGGATGATTATACGAAAACTTTTATACGGAAACAGTTCACAATCTCTGGCTTGTGTGTTCAGCTTAAGCTTCAATTTGTGTAGGGACATCGATATTTAATTGTATTTATATTCACATTTTACAAATAATATTTCAAATCTCTTAATCCTGTAACTTCAGGCGCTTTTGAACTGATTTATAAACAAATACAAGTTAGATATTAATATACAACCCATTAATTTTTATAATTATGCTTTATGAAAAAATAGCGGCTTTTATTTACAATTCTAGTAGTAAATTTGTAAGCTAGATTTAAGCTGTCTTTAGATATTCTGTTATTTCAAATCACTAACGATTGTGTTTTAATTAACATTATAATTCTTGTTTTTCTGGGTTTCATTGCAATATATGTTTACTTTCGCTGAAGCATTAAGACATCACTAAACTTGTTATATGATTATTAAGCTCAGTAATTATGTCTCTGACTGGATGAACTAAAACAGCAATGAAACTATAACAAAATAAATATGTGATTGTTATTTTAAGATGTAAAGCTAAACGATGCTCAAATAAATCAGGGGAAATAGCTCCAGCGTTTACTTGTAATACATCACCTCTATGTATATTCGATTTAATCCTTAACTACGCTAAGCCGATGTATCTAATCATGCTCTTGGGTGCTCTGACGGGTGTGCGTGTTATCTGTTGCAGCATATGCCCAAAAGTGGGAGCAGCTGTTAATACAGCAACGTGACATTCTGAACGCCGCGCTCGACCAAGTCAGCCAGTTCCGCGGGCAGCTGCTACAGGAGGAACAAATCAGCCAGAAGATGACTCGAATGCGCAACATCTCAACGCGGTACAATTAAAAATGTCACCCCTAGCGAACGCAAAAAAAAAGACACAAAAAGTAATTATTTCTCACCGGTGAAAAAAAAGTCCGCTTCTTATGTGTGTATCGACTCTTAATTACAAGCGCGCGCGAAAAGCAGATATGCCATGACACTAGTGCGACAGTCATAGGAACGCAAAATGTAACAAATGTCTTGCCTTCGAAATTGCTACGAAATGTACATCGTCGAGATAGCAAAGAACTCGACTCGTAAATCTCAACCTAGCGATCTTGTATCATATAACGATTCTTCTCGAATGATTCTCCATTGTAAAATGAAAGAATAAGAAAAGAAAATTCCGCAGGAAGGGATATGTAAGCCGAAATATGGCAGGCATAATAACAATAGTTGCTTAAGGATTCACCAGCGAAAAATTAATTATTTGTTTTTACCGCATTAGATATGTTCGTCTCGACAAAAGTCGAAGAACTTTTTTTTAGCCAAGATTTCTAATTGGCCTCTTTTAGTTTCGAACCGTAGGAAATTTTAAGCAAATCCGGAATTTTTCGCAAAGGTAACAAACGAATGCACGTTTAATTTTGGTTCGGGGATCAAAATTTCGTCAGTATGTAATTGCATATTTATCGAAATGAATTCTTACGTGATTTACATATTTTTTGGGCCGCAAAAGAGACCAAAATTTTAAGCCGTCAACGACACATCGATACTCAATTGATTGTACAATTTGTTCGTCATTGAGATGCAACGCACCGCAAATGATAATGCATAAGTTATTACGCCGTCAGATAAACACTCGTTTTTTTTTTTTAGACTGTAGAATGCTAGGTGTATTATTACGAGGGACCCCCAGTGTATTATTGGATAAAGAAAAAAAGCCTTAGTGAACCGATTTGCCGGGATATATCATGGCGATACCTTGTATACTCATTTAACACACGCATACACAAGTGCATGTATACACAACTCTTTCATAAACCAAATAACGACTGATTTCGAGAGGATGAACAAAAAAAAGAATGTAACTCTTAGCTCTTAAGAAACTATCCAGCGGCGCTCATCCGGATATTTAAGTTTTTTAGTATTAATATCGTCGACGGCATCAAACGGTCTTCTTTTTTTCTTACGTTATTAAAAGTATGAAATTAAAATCTTCATTTGATTTATCAACGCATACTCTTGTGTTTTCTTCCTCACTCTATCGAATCGCAATGTTCGCGAAGCGGTCTCAAGCGTTTAACAAGCAGCAAGCTTTAACAAGCTTCATTACGGATACGTCCAACGGAATACCGTATTTTTATCACAATTATAGAGCCACGAATGAAGTTTTAATGTTCCTATTTAATGTCCCTATAGATATATTTCCTTTTTAACCAGAGGAGATTCTTCGATCGATTCTAAGATATAAAGAATTTTAATTCCATCTCGTTTCCATATTTTCTAAGATACATCGCGATAATTGATACCAATATCATGCTAATATTATAATATTATCTGGAATTAATATAAAGATAGAAAACAACTTTCTTTGGCCAAAAAAGGGAAGTAGAGCTGATAATGTTCAGCATTCGTATATAAATTAAACATAGCAATTCTGTTTTTTCTTTGTATTTTACTGCCGATATTTGTTTCTATAATACGCATCTAAAATATTTACCTATCTTGTTATTTGCAGGCCAACTAGTTTTGTCTTATCACAATTTGTTGAAAATCATTGCATTACGATACAAGAAAATATATCGCACTGCAGTCGCACTAGGCAATAGAGAATTAAAAAGATACATAACGTGTATCGCACGTCACACGATTTTATCTCTCTTGAAGATTTTATTCCAAATGCGTTCTTGTATAAATGTAAAATCCTCGTGCGTGTCAGTCTCGCGAGTTAACAATCATTACGTGTGTACGCTCGATTTTGTAAACGTGTAATGTTCTAATGATTTGAGAGAAGTTACTCTCGGTCTTGGAACTAGAGATAAATTAACAAAGTAACAACAATAACGCGCATATAGATGAGAGTAAACGGAGCATCAATCTTTCTGTGTTGACAAGATTTACGATTTTTTATATAAATATATAGAATAGCGCGGAGTTGTAAAGAAATTGTTTGAGATTACTGTTGTATTAAAAAACGAGATAGTCACACATGCCGCTGAAGGCATCCTCTAACTTAACATAGCATACTTATCGAGTATGTAACATTGATCGAAAATTGTGACTACATATTAGCGAGTTGTGCTTCACTTATCGAAAAAATTCATCCCTCGCTACATATCCAACATTTCTGCTAAATATGTGTCGCCTTAATTAACAAACGCTAACGTTTTCGAGCAGTTAGCGGCTGCTGTAGCTCAGCTATACGATATTTCCCCATTGTCGAGATTTTATAATTTAGCTATTCTTCAAGATTATGAAAAAAAAATTCACGTTTCACCACTTCGAATATAGTATTTTTTAATAAATAGTGGCGCGATAGAAAAAGATGAGGCTTAGTAATCGAAAGATGTTATATACTTCTTATTTTTTTATAACTGTATAATTTATGCGAAGGGAGACGAATAAATCAAATATACGACACGTATCCCCCCCTCTCCAAACATCCTTTCCCTATTATATGTCGTATTTAATAGTCGACTTCTAAACTATTCTAATTCGATGTGCACAGAAAAGTTTTGGATACGTATGAAAGATTTCACGTTGTTGCTTTATGAATGAAATAAATCAGATTGAAAAATAAACATTCAATTACGTTCCTCGTCCTAACCAGTATATCTTAAGATTTAAAAAAAAATGGTACGCCAATAGGAAATTAGAGACGTTTTCCAGGAAGAGACAAATAAGACAATGTGACAGATGAATTATTATATCCTTGTCTGCCAATATTAAACAAAGATAAAATTATTCACTATATTACACTGTCTCTTGCTGAAAAGCATCATAATTACACAAAATTTCGTGTCTAGTAAAATTGCATTTTTCTGATTTTTAACACAATCCCATGATACTTGATCTTTGTGTTTGAATTATTAGAAACTGTTCGATTTATTTTATCAATCAGATCTATGTATCGATCTGTGACTTTCTCTAGTGAAAACGTAAAAATTTGTATGATATGTACATATATCATACATAAAATTTGTTTCGTTTTAGTGAAAACGTTACATAATCGATACCTTACACACGTATATGGATTCTGTTCAGAATGGATTCCCCTTAAAATTATTCTGTTTTCTTAGAGAACTTAATAAATATTTAAAGAATAAGTGAACAATTTCGGAATTCATTCCAAATAATAACACTTTATTTATACTTTATTTATACTGATGCAACGAAGGGATCTGGGATGGGTTATAAAATCGCGTAATTGCGAAACGAATTCAGACATTGTACAGATACACAGGTAGGTATTAATTTTATTTCGTACTTGGTAGAGCTGCACGAGACAACGATTATCGGAAATGCATGCGTAGACAGCAGGTGAATGCGTATAAATCAAGCGGATAATTTTTTTATATACCGAATGATACAGCTGATCACGAAGAATTTATCTTTAAAAATTCTTGGCGTCCCGTAAACGTATCATCCTGCAAGACTATCTAAAGATTTCGTCGAGCAATGATGACGAAAAAAATCTTTTATCGGTACGCTCGATCAATGCTGTGTTTGACATGTCTGATCATTTAATTCTTCTTTTTCTACGGTAACAAAGTACGCTCTGTATACGCAAACCTGTTCAACTAAGCCAACCATTTATACTAGGTTTTTTTTCATTAAAAGCCTAATTTCTTATCATGTAACATGTCACATATAACACAAAGATTTTTCTACTATCTCTTCACTACATCATATACATATCCATACACGCTTACATCATGTATGTATATACAACTAAAAATACCGTTCTGTACATAAAATGTCTTTTTTTTTTCATAAAGAAAAGAACGTGCGAAATAAAATGTACTACGCGCCGTGCTTAGCGGCTAACGCGCGTCAACTTCATGTTTTAAACGATAACTACGTCCTATTTTCTGGCGGAGATGGCGACTATACAAAGACAGAGGAAACTCATGTACCTACATCGCTGATAGTCGCGAACACGATGCAGCCACATGAGCGTCTTGAGAAATCGCACAAGGGGGAAAGAAAAAAAATCCGCAGTTATCTTCTCTAACGGTACATAACGTGGAATGGATTCCGAAGAGATGTGCTCTCACGACTAACGAGATTTGATATATTTACAGTCACTGTCGGAATATATCGCGAGCCCGTTTTCAAATCGCACCTTCGCACTTCAATCGCTCATCTATTTATTCTTCACGGCCTTTACATTAATAGACGACTTTTCTATAAAAGAAACCGAGCGCTTCTGTGT